ATATATATATATATATATATATATATATATATATATATATATATATATATATATAAATAAAATAAAGCCTTCAGATATTTCAACCCCGTTATACAAGTAGCACACAGATTGACAACGAGCATAAGACAGACTTCTGAATCTGAGCAGCAGCCAAGTCAACAGAAATGTACAAGGAACATTGAATCTGGAAATCTTGCAAATGACATTTTAAATCCATCAGAACACCGGAGAGATGAGTCAATACACGCAGATGTCCTTATGGCCACATTTCTAGGCGAAATCTAGCATATCTAGGGAAGTAAAAAAGTTCCTTTAAACACATGCGGGTAAATGTGGGTGGAAATTACCAAACAACAACAGCAAAAAAATAAACAGGTCCACCTCTGGAAGGCATTTTTTCCTCAAAGGTCATTGGCATCCTTGAAATGTTGGAGCATCTTCATCTATAAAAGACCAATCTTTGTGACAGAGCTCAAGCCCTGTCACATTAATCACTTTTCTGTGTGGCCAAACTCTGCGGGAAGGCTGGGGCTATTTGACTCCAGTCCCTTCATTAGTGTCATCACAGGAAGCTCTGGCTGTATCCAGAGCTCAGCTGGTGGGAGCAGGAACGGTAGGAGAGGCAGGATTGGGCTGCACATGTGCACCCACATACACACATACACACACATTCACACAAAGCCCTCTGATTTGCCTTGTTTCTTTCAACTTCATTTCGACTCGTTCTACATGACGTTTTCAAACAGCTGCATGGATCTCATCATGTTTTCATCCTGTGGGGAGATAGAAGATGAAGCGTTGAGTCACTCTGAAGTTTTTTTCCTGCAGCATGTCTGTAAATCTCATTGTCCAGCAGAATTGACAGTCAACAAACTCTAGTTTATGCCACTGCAGCACAAAGCTTCTGCTTTTTACATGTTATCCTTAAATTAAGCTGATTATTTTAAGCTTTTACAAAACTTCTCTTTAAATTCTGTATTGCAATTTAAGATTCAAAATAAGTTGCAAAATAACAGAACGTTCTTTTAAATAAATTGGTTGCCAATCTAAGGATTATTTTCTCTCAAAAGTTTTCCTTGTGTCACCTCTGTGAAATATGCATGTTGATTAGATAAAAGAGAAGTAGTGACATTTCTATGCTGTGTTATTTTGTTTGTTATACATCACACAGATTATGGGAAATACGGACCTCTTGACAGGCCAAGATAAACTCCTCCAAGGTCACCACTCCGTCTTTGTTCTTATCCATTTTCTGAAAGGAAAAAAAAAAGATATTTAGAGGTAATTTAAGGTTGCAATAAAACTTACTAATGTGAAGTACTGTCAAGAAAATATTTAACATTAGAATAAACTTGTGGGTAGCTCACAGGTGTTACAGATCTAACCCAGAAAGCTTGTCAAATAAGCAGAAAGCAGGAAGCACGTTCTTCCCAAATAAAACTGGAAATCTATATAGATGCCTTGTCTCGTTGCTGTTTCAGGCTGACATTTACTTCTCAGTTTTAACACAGAAGATTATATTGAACTTAGGCTTTGCTTAGCCTGTCTGATGTTTACAATTTTAGCTCATAAAAAGATATTGATTGGGGGGGAATGGGGTGTTTACTTGCATGTGGGAGAGAGAAGCTGGGCCAGGAGCTAAATGAAGGGGATCTTGAATAACAATTGGCTTCATAGGCAAGGCAAGGCAAGGCAAATTTATTTGTATAGCACTATTCAGTAGAAAGATAATGCAAAGTGCTTTACATGATTAAAATATAGGAAAATAACTGAACTAAAATAACGGAACTGAACGAGGGACATTACAGGTGGTGCAGGTGAAGCTGATATGAGTCTTCCAGATTGAATTCATGCTTAAGCTTCATTTCGTGTAAATTTAAGCTAACCAATTTTTGCTAAAAACCATACTTGTTCGATTAGTCTAACCTCACCTACAGAATAAACAATATATCTCTCTCATTTTGTAAAATATAAAGCCTTTTCTCATACTACAGCCATCTGAACAAATCTTTTTGACATTCATTTCAAGCCTAAATGTACCAGTTTGTGATGTGTGCTAGATATGAACCTGAAAAAAGGCATCCACATGCTGCTGTGGGACGTCTCCCTTTAGCGCTGGATAGGTGTACTTGCCCATCATGTCATAAATGGCCCTTACAATCTCTGTCATTTCCTGCATGAACACAATAAATGCCATGCTAAGAGCAGCATTTCAGATAACAATAACAACACTGTTAAAACTGTAAAGTCTCACCTCCCTGTTTATGTATCCATCTCTGTTGATGTCGTAAAGATGAAACGTCCACTCCAGCTTTTCCCTCAGGGTTCCCCTCAGTAGAATGGATAGCCCCATCACAAAGTCCTGCCAGCAGGAACAGGGAACACAGCAGAATGCAGCATAAATGCACCAAACCAAAGAAAAATGTATTTTTACATGTTTTATTATGGGTCCAAGCCCACAACGGTTTAGATTATGCAGCCGCAAAGAAGCAACATTTTCTGGACTATCCATGAAAGCATAGATTATGAAAGTATTTTAAATTTACTTCTTTTTTTTATTTCTCTTTTAATTAAAATGAAAACAATTGGATGCGTCACTTGGAGCTTGTACATTGCTACTCAAAAAAAAAGAAAAGAAAAAATAACACCACCTATCAGTAGGTGGTGCTATTTTTAAGACTGGTCTTTAACCATTAATTTTCTTTACAAAATGTTCCCGGGCAAACATATATATATTTTTTATTATTTACCCCCAAAAAATTCCCAATTTGGAGACATTAAAGAAAGCAACACCATTAAAATGTCATTTTACTATTTAAACATAAATTACAACAAAAACAAAAAAAACATTATTTTTAAAGATGAAAATAAATATAATTTAGAGGGATTTTTTTAACAGAAAAAATAGATTAAAGTTTTATTTCTAGCTAATTAAAACCCTACTTTACACATATTTCAGAAACATAACAGCTAACTGGATAAATGAATGATCCTAAAGGAGCCTACCCAGTCTGACAAACATTACCAACACAAGAAAACAAGAAAAA